TGGAAGGGGGTGACACCATGAGTTTACCGCACCGTGTGTCATGAACACTATCTGCGCCATTGCAACCAATAAGCCCACTCATTGTATCGGCAGTTTTGAAGATTGAAATAATTTTATAACGTACACGGAATTATTGTTTTTGTAATATTGGCCTACGTGCCTACCATTTGTACATCTAAAAGGTAATCGATCAATCCAAGGCAATCAAATGATCAATAATATGTAATCAATAAAATGCAATCAATAATATGTAATCAATAATATGTAATCAATAATATATGTAATCAATAAGATGTAATCAATAATATGTATTCAATAGACTTTAAAGCGCTTATTGTATTTTTTTTAAACGAGAATTTTAATTTATTTGATAATTTATTGTGCAATTTTGTGCAACAAGAGCTGAAGGTGGCATGTAACAGTCTAAGTCTAAGTCTATTAGATACAGCATTAGATCTGCAGTTTACATACAGTGCTATCTTAAGGCATGGCACACTGGACAAGTGTCCAGGGCCTCAAGTATTTCAGGGGTCTCAAACTTCAATGGGGTCTCGCACTTCAACGGGGTCTCGCACTTCAATGGGGTCTCATACTTCTATGGGTCTCACATTGCTATGGGTCTCACATTTATATGGGGCATCACACTTCGAGGGGTCTCACGCTTCTAGGGGTCTCACGCTCCTAGGATTCTCACACTTATATGGGTTCTCATACTTCTGTGGGGTCGCACACCTCTAGTGCGTCTCACTCTAATTTGGTTCTCCCACCTCTAGTGGGTCTCACACTTCTATAGGTTCTCACACTTCTAGGGGATCTCATAATTATATGGGGGTCTCACACTTCTAGGGGGTCTCACACCTCTAGGGGGTCTCACACTTTTAGGGGGGCTCACACTCTAGGGGTCTCAAGCTTCTGGTTGGTCTCCCATTTCTAGGGCGTCTCACACTTCTAGAGGGGTCTCAAACTTCTAGGAGGTCTCAAACTTTTAGGGGGTCTCACACTTCTAGGGGGTCTCACACTGCTAGGGGGTCTCACACTTCTAGGGGGTCTCACATTTCTAGGGGGTCTCACACTTCTAGGGGGTCTCACACTGCTAGGGTTCTATATGACATCCTACTATAAAGAATGTTACTGTTCTATATGACATCCTACTACAAAGAATGTTACTGTTCTATATGACATCCTACTACGAAGGATGTTACTGTTCTATATGACATCCTACTACTAGGGGGTCTCACACTGCTAGGGGGTCTCACACTTCTAGGGGGTCTCACATTTCTAGGGGTCTCACACTTCTAGGGGTCTCACACTTCTAGGGGGTCTCAAACTTCTAGGGGGTCTCGCACTTCTAGAGGGTCTCAATCTTCTGGGTAGTCTCACGTTTCTAGGGGATCTCACACTTCTGACGGAATCAGAGCTTGCCCTAAGTGATGGAGTCATAGCTTGCCCTTAGTGACGGAGTCAGAGCTTGCTTTGGATGACGGAGTCAGGCCTTGCCCATGGTGATGTAATGGAGTCAGAGCTTGCAGTGGGTGACGGAGTCAGAAGTTGCCCTGAGTCACATTACCCTCCACCAAGTTCCCGAACGCCCGAAAAGCCTCACTAAACCACACCCCACCCCCAAACCTCATGAAATTTTCTGAAAGAAACACTTGTAAAACCTGGGCCCATTTCTTAACATTACGTGAAATGGTCAGAGAGAAATAGGTGTCATCGGTGCGTTACTTGGCACAGGGCCCCCGATAGGTGGCATCGGTGCGTTACTTGGCCCAGGGCCCCCGATAGGTGGCATCGGTGCGTTACTTGGCCCAGGGCCCCCGATGCTGTAAAAACGGCTCTGGTTATATCTTGTCTGTTGCAAGTTTGAAAGTTCACAAATCATTACACCTAGTTGCAACAGCAACTCTGCAAGCGCAGGAGAGAAGGGAGACGGTGTCGCCAACAATTTGTTGTAAGAAACTCACAACAGCCCTGACGCAAGCTTTTATGTGACTTTATGAAATGTAGAGGGAGGCTATCATTTATTTAAACGTTTATTAATAATGGTCAGTCATTGCCCTTACGACACTCACACATTAAAGAATGATGTCCCTTTGAAGCTTCAAGCGTCGTCGCGGAAATGTTGATGTCAGGAAACCGACTCCCATTTCAAAAAATTATCACAAGTGCTCCAAGGGTCCACTATATTAAGGCGGATGAAACCCACTTTGACACTGAGCCATAAACAAAATTTCAGCTTTGAGATAAAAACTTGTATATCAATAGATCCCCCTCTCCCGACATCCACGAAGAATTTCTTCTTGTTAAAATAAATCCACAGTATGACAATGACAAGAAAAACAAATTAATTGAAGGTCAGGAGTTCAAAGTATGTAAGAACTGTAAGAACGTAAATTTATCGTTATTTTTAAATGACATAGACTCTATTTAAAATGTTCATTTCATCGTATTCAAAAGCTCCACACTTTCAATGATCTTATCAAAATCAATATCCTTCACTGTATCACTGTCAATAGATAGTATAGCCATATAAGACAGCCTTTTCTGTCCCATGGTGGATCCTAAATAGTTCTTTATAAGTCTTAGATATGAAAAGCTCCGCTCACATGAAGCCGCTGAACCACAGGTCGTAAGAAACATTTGAAGACTTAGCGAGATTATTGGAAGAGATTCTAGGAAGTCCCATTCAACTATGAATTTCAAAAATCAAATACTGACCGTTCCAAAATTGTGTGATTCACTCAGCTGTGAAATTCAAAACATCACACACTGACCAGTCCAAAACTTTGTGAAATTCAATATCAGCTGCTTTAGATGTCTTCTAAGCCTTGGTAAGAACTTTATAAGTTCACCTTCTGATAACTCATCATAGAAAGAGTTTACTATTGGAACGGACACAAATAACGCTTCTTCACTTCGTTTGAGACGTTTGAACAGCCCCAAATATTTGCTACTTGCTTAATGGCTGATGCGCTAATCTGGGGTTCAGAATGAAAGCGTTCTAAACAATCAGCATCTCCCTACTGTTTTCTTTTCACAGAGAGAGTCCAGCTTCTAGTTATTGTTCTCCTGCCATTATCTTCTTAAAACTTAATCTTCTCTCTACCGAAATGCCTTGTCGGTCTGATTTTTTATAAGTGCCTTTTCAGTAGCATGTTACACCAAGTGCCGCAGATAATGCCAAGTACGATTTAACGTCCTAACGTGAAATCACAGACGGCATGTAAAAGACCTTGTGTTGTATGACAATCGGGCTCAAATGTATAGATGCGGTGCTAGTGACGAATCGGCGAACATTAATTTTTTAGTTTTTCTGGGTTTCGATATATTTGGTTTCAGAAACAAACAAAAACATTAGGCCTATATTTAAATTCATTTATATTAATTTATATTAATTTTTAAAAGTTATTTGAAAATTGTGCAATATAGTATTTTGTTAAAACCCTATAAATGGGTTAAAAAAATATTTTTTTCAATGTTTTCAACTTTTACTGATTCGATTCATGTACTTAGAATTGCCTGACGTCATCGTATTTGGTATCAACGTGAAGCTTTATTTCTCAGAATTTAGATAAATATAGCTTCCTGTCACGAAAGTTACCGATCACTTCAGTCGGCGTTGAATCATTGTCAAAACGGTGTTTGTTTGACCTAAAATTATAGGGTCAACTCATTTCTGTGGCAAACGTACGTGTGATCAGTTATCCTTTTATTAAAAATCGGTTAGGCCGAGCAGAGTGTGCTCTGTAAATACGCACAGTTTCAATTTGGTGTTACCCCCCTGGGATGGTGTTGCCCTGTGCGGTCCGCACCCCCCTAGCTACGCCACTGCGCCATACACTGTTAGAGACCTTGGCTTCTACACTGACAGAAAACTCACTATGATCACTCATATCAGTTATGTGGTCATGGCTTGTTTCTGCCATCTCCGACCTCTGGGTCAGCTGAGTCAGAACAGTCAATGCCGTTGCAGTCACTCCGATCCGATCAAGATTAGATTACTGTAACAGTAGTTTCTGGGGTTTACCTAAGAACCAAATTCAGAGACTCCAGAAGGTACCAAATCCTGCAGCACGCATTGTATCACGTATGCAGAAATCTGACCACATCACCTCAGTTCTTAAAGATCTCCATTGGCTTCCTGTGAGTGATCACATTGACCACAAAATTCTGTCCCTGGCGTACAGCTGTATAGAGGACTCTGCACCTGTATATCTTCAAAAACGTATTTCTAAACATATATCCATGCAGAACCTGTGCTCTTCAACACAGTCCTTACTGAGAGTTCCCAGTGTGGATTGACACAGAAAGAAGTCATACGGAGTGCGCTCTCTTGAAGCTTTTGTGCCTAAATTGTGGAACAGTTTGCCTCAATCTTTGAGGGACATTGAAAATGATAAAAAGTCATTTAACTACCATTTAAAGCCTTTTTTTTTTCTTTAGATAATTTTAGGATATCATGGCGCTGGGAGCCTGCTAAAATAGCATGGACACAAGCGCTGTAAAAGTATTCAATCATCAGTCATCATCAACACCTTCTCTCGTGGCATTATGAACATAAACACTTTTAAGCTCATATGCTGTTTATTATTGGCCAGTTACCATACAGTTTACTTAGCCCGAAAAAGGGAAAATATATGCATGAAAAATTGAATCGATTAAAAAATATATTCTCTTTGAAATAATGCACTATTTACACTACACCATCGTCCCTTTAACTAATTAATAACAATGAAATAATAATTAGTAGACCTACACATTTTATCAAATAACATAAAATTGTTAAGGAAATTTAATTTAAATCCATTCTAATTATCAGTGTGCGGTAAATATTTTAAAAAAGGTAATTTACAAGAATAAATCCCCAGTTAATGCTTTTTTTCCCAAGAAGGGAGGCAGATAAATTATTTTGAAACTTAATTTTTTTAATAATGTGAAAGATAAATACGAAACTTTTCAAACTAATTAGCTTCAAAGAGTAGGTAAAACAATAACAAATAATGGCGGATGTAGAACAAGATAATCCAGAGAGGTGTGTCAATTCTGCATTTACATTTATAAAACATGGGAATATTTGATTATAGAATGCTATTTTTCATATAGGTTTAGTGAATTATGCCCTTAATATCGAAATTAATATGTCAACAATTAAATGTGGGCCTATAATAATTTAGGCTTTTCACTAAAAATAAAAACTAAATAAAAAATTATGGCGATCCGATGCGATGGTTAGGCTAGGGCCAGGGCAAGACCCGCCCTTCTTCACTTCTTACCTTCTTAACATATTACTATTTAGCCTATTATTTATTACGCGATGGGCAAAGTGCAAAGCCTCCTAAACATAATTTGCTCTATATTGACTATATTCAGTATGAATCATTGAAACATAAGTTGGATGCGGCTATTCGGACCCGTTGAGAGTTTGGGTTTATTAAAAAATATTTAAAAATTATTGTAGGGTTTGCAAGATAAAATTTGGTATCAAATGAAAGATAATTGAATGGACTATATGTTTGTAAACTTACTTCTTCAGTTTAACTAAAATCAGCTACCACAAATAACATCCGAATAGAATTTAGTCTAAATGGAACCGGAAACGCATCGCTGCTATTCTGACCCGGGTCCCATTAGACTCAAGCTATTCGGATGTCATTTGTGGTAGTTTATTTTAGTTAAACTGAAGAAGTAAGTTTACAAAATATAGTCCATTCAATTATCTTTCATTTGATACCAAATTTTATTGGCAGTGTCTACACGTCCGGCGCGCCGGATGTATATCTCCCAAACTATTTGTCCGGCGACCAAGTCACATGACCGCCGTAACAAAGTGGCAAGAGATATCTTGTCGGTCAGCCTTGTCATGTGACTGCGAATGATTCAAAACTATTGTTAATTTTAAAATCTTTTTCTCTACCAAGTAATGTACTGAGTATCTTGAATGCAAATAATAGAAAAAAAACTTAAGTGAAAGTGGCTTGTAAACATTTTTGTTTTGTTTGTTATTTGCGTTTGTGTACCAGTAATCCATAAAATTAATTAGGGCAGGGGCCAGTATGGAGTAGGCAAACAATAAAAGTAAAAGATTCCATTTTAAATTGTTTAAATTGTTAAAATATTTAAAAACTTGTCATGAAACTACTGTTGCTGATGAACATGATAATAAAAATATAGTATAAAATATTTTTAATTAAAATGGGGGAAAAAAAAATCGATCCTTTCCCCAGAATTGATCCTCAAATCATAATAACGTCACGCAACCACTCTACCACTAGACCACACAAGATCTACCAAACTGCGCTTCGTTCAGAATAATAAAAACTACTAGCCGTCCGGCGGTAACGTGACATGCTGCCGGATGTATATCTTGCGCACTATTTGTCCGGCGCGCCGGACGTGTAGACACTTCGAATTTTATTTTACAAACCCTACAATAATATTTTGTTTTAAATTTTAATCCCAACCTCTCACTTCGCGGAACTGGGTCCGAATAGCCACTTTGATATAAGTTAGTGTTTTTGCAACAACAAAAAATTAAATTAGGCCTGTACTATACAATATTAATAGTTTTATAATTTTTAGAACAATCGAACATCAACTAGCCGTAGTAGTTTTTGAGCTATGAATAATAATTAAAAAGAAACATGAAATGTCTCTAAATGTGATGTGAGTTTGCTTGTGGTTCTTTCGGCTAATATCTGTTTGTTGCAGCATTTTGAGTTTCTGTAAAGGATCTTTCTCCTTTTTTTTTTATTCTTGAATTGTTATGACTACTGCTGACTAAAGTTAACTATTATTATTTTTAGTATTAATATGCTGAACAAATTTTAAAAATTAACATTTCATTGGGTGGTTAAATATGATAATTAATATTAATTTCTATTTAAAACAAGGCTAATGTTTTTTTACGTCATCTTGGATTGGGTATCAAATATGGCAACCATATATGGTAGTTTGGTTATATCAAATATGGCAACCATCCATGATAGATTAGTTAAATCAGATATGGCAAGCACAAATGGTAGCATTTGGGTTAGGTAGAGTAGTGTATATATATTAGTATAAGGATTGAAGGTATTTCTCAAAAAATTATTTCACTAAGTTTTAACATTTTGTTACTTATTTTTGTTTTGCTTGGTAAGTAGCCAACAGCAAATTTTCTCTTTTTGCCCTTCTTATTTTAGCTGCCATGTTTGCACACTAATTTATTTATTTATTTTTTTTACACCTCCTTCATCTTGGTTGCCATGACATGTCTGCCATCATAGCAACCAAGATGGCGATAGTGGGAAATTAGTGATTCATACATTTACTGTCCTTTTTTTTTATCGGTGTATTTACATTTAATAATATGATTAATAAATATACCAGCCGTATGGGCTTCACCACCACTATTTGTGATTGTATTCTGTTGACTGTATTCTGTTGACTGTAATTTGGCAAAATAAGATGCAATTAGGTCTAGGGTCAACTCGCTCCAGGCAGTTACTTTTTTAAAAAGTTGTACCGTTTACACACGACTAATCACTGGATGGAAACTCCAATCCCACTTAACAATAAACATTAATGACTATGAAAGTATGACTATACCTATGGATACCTTTGTAGAGTTAACTAATTATAAAAAGTGTTGGACTGCGATAAAGCTTTAAAATAGATTAATAAGACACGAACAAATTGTGTCAATAGAACAATATGAGTTAGCTTTAATAATAATTATACATTATACACAATTAAACGTTTCGGCACATGCCTTCATCAGGACAAACAAACAAAACACATTTAAATAAGTGTAAATTAAATGTACATAATATCAACATACATATCCTACCTAAAACAGAAACAAATATAGGGGAGAGCGCTAAAACCAGACAAAAACAAAGTAAAGAGAAGTAGAAAGTAGCCTTGAGTAGCCATGAGTTTTGCTTAAAAATACAGTTATGTGACTTGAACATGAACATTTTAAATGACTGGTCACTTAACATGAGCATTCTAAATGACTGGTCACTTAACATGAACAAATGAACATTCTACTGGATCAGGGCAAGTTAGCACGTTGTTGCGCCACTTCTTTTATTTCTGTTTTGACATGCTTCTTAAAAAATGTGTTATTATTTTATTAAGAGTTTTCAAAGCAGTCATTGGGTGCATTTTGTGATCAGATATTATAGATAATATCATCTTTACTTGTCATAATTACATTGGAGGATTGCTAATACAGTGGGACCCCTCTTTAAGGCCATAAACAGGTATCATCTCAATAATGGCGGAGTTGGGTGCGAGTAACATTGGAGTTTTTAACTGTAGGAAGGAATGTTGTATTGTTGAAGTTGGACAAGTTTGATTGGATTTTTCATTGTGTTGTACCAGAAGATGAATTTTTATCATATTTTTCATGTACTTTAAAAAAATTAAACAGGTCAATTAATACACAGAATTTTAGGAGCAGCAGCACCAAAACTGCATTACATCCAAATATGCGTTCAATGGGGTTCCAATGTATTTTAATATTATGCAAATACAAATGACAGTTCTTTTCTTGCTGATCAGACAGCGCCGTGATCTCCTTATGAAGCTGAAGAAAACAACGGAGAGTCTTCTTGCCGGTCAGTCTGTGCAAGGTCCCTGGGGCACGTACGGAGCCCTGCGACGCATCTGCCATGACACAGAATCCATTTTATGTCATCGGATGAGAGAGAGCAAATGTGTAAGAACGTTATGAAATGTGTTGCTTTGTCAATTTGTCAATGTGTCACGGGGTTCAAAGGTAATGGGGTCATCTTGAAGGCATTTCCAATAGTTAAAGGCGGAGAATAGCTTTTTAAAATGATTGAAAACAAAATCAATAGTGTGCCATCTGTTCCAGTTTAAACATTAATAAACCATCTAAGTTGCTGATAAACTTTTTAAAAGGTCTCTAGTTATTTTCAGCTTGTATGAAAAACATTTAAAAGAAATAATTGCATGATTTTCATTGACAGCTTAGACTTACATTACACTTCAAATGTGTTCCTTTTTTTAACAAAATAAATGTTTTATATTGCTCAGAAATTTCTAGAATCTGGGAAATGAGACAAGACAATAAGACATAAATGGAAATATTGTATGAATCATAAATATTTATTAATAACACCTGCCATGAATGTTTCAAACAGTGAAGGATCTCTTTATGTTCTGTCATCAAGCATAAATGAGCAATTGGGGTAAACACTGAAGCATAAATGAGCAATAGGGGTAAACACTCAAGCATAAATGAGCCATAGGGGTAAACACTCAAGCATAAATGAGCCATAGGGGTAAACACTCAAGCATAAATGAGCCATAGGGGTAAACACTCAAGCATAAATGAGCCATAGGAGTAAACACTCAAGCATAAATGAGCCATAGGAGTAAACACTCATGCATAAATGAGCCATAGGGGTAAACACTCAAGCATAAATGAGCCATAGGGGTAAACACTCAAGCATAAATGAGCCATAGGAGTAAACACTCAAGCATAACATAGAATCATTCAACTATTTCCCATATAATGAATGCTCATTTTTTCTTCTTTGTTTTTAACAAATGTTTCCGCCCTACTTTGTGTCTGGTCAAAATAGTTGTTATTTGGCATATTTTTTTAAAGTGACATCTAAACTTGTTCTTTGAACTCATGGCATGTATTACACAGTTACACATTTATGTATTATTATTTTGAAAACAACTTTTTCAGGGAGGCTCAAGTTCACTAGGCTCAGGTTCACTAGGCTCAGGTTCACTAGGCTCAGGTTCACTAGACTCAGGTTCACTAGACTCAGGTTCACTAGGCAGCTTCTGGTTATTTTTACAAGGCTTAAGATGGCTTAGTCCGAGCCTGGCACCAGTTATAGAAAAGTTGAACCGTTACAGCCAGTCTCAGAAATCTGTGGGTGGTGATGTCTGCAGAATGTGGCTTAAAGATTCTGTTGAGGACCACTCACTGATCGCCCAACTGGATACACTCATCAGTGATGTGGAATATGTGCACAGCTTCTACTATGGTGAGTCAGCCACTTTGAATACAGAGTTTCTGTAGTGAGCTAAAATAGTGCTGGGAACAGTTGGCTTGGCAAAGAGAGCATTTAAATAGGCTGTTGGTCTGGGCTAAATGTAACCAATGATAATAATAATTTAAAAAATCTTCCAAGTTTTTTTGTGTTTTCCCAAAAATGCTAAAATTATTTGAAACCTGTGTCAGATCAGGATATTGGCTATGTTAATAGCTGAGGGAGTGGGTCTTGAAACCCGTGTCAGATCAGGATATTGTCTATGTTAATAGCTGAGGGAGTGGGTCTTGAAACCCGTGTCAGATCAGGATATTGTCTATGTTAATAGCTGAGGGAGTGGGTCTTGAAACCCGTGTCAGATCAGGATATTGTCTGAGTTAATAGCTGAGAGAGTGGGTCTTGAAACCCGTGTCAGATCAGGATATTGTCTGAGTTGATAGCTGAGAGAGTGGGTCTTGAAACCCGTGTCAGATCAGGATATTGTCTGAGTTAATAGCTGAGAGAGTGGGTCTTGAAACCCATGTCAGATCAGGATATTGTCTGAGTTAATAGCTGAGAGAGTGGGTCTTGAAACCCATGTCAGATCAGGATATTGTCTGAGTTAATTGCTGAGAGAGTGGGTCTTGAAACCCGTGTCAGATCAGGATATTGTCTGAGTTAATAGCTGAGAGAGTGGGTCTTGAAACCCATGTCAGATCAGGACATTGTCTGAGTTAATTGCTGAGAGAGTGGGTCTTGAAACCCGTGTCAGATCAGGATATTGTCTGAGTTAATAGCTGAGAGAGTGGGTCTTGAAACCCGTGTCAGATCAGGATATTGTCTGAGTTAATAGCTGAGAGAGTAGGCCTTGAAACCCGTGTCAGATCAGGATATTGTCTGAGTTAATAGCTGAGAGAGTGGGTACTGGGGTGGGTCAGGCGAGGTAAGACATCTTGGCAGAATTTGTCAATAGATCTATCAGCTTGTTTTCTTCATTTTGTGTGATACAAATCATGTATTGCAGATTACATTACCATTGTGTGATACAAATCATGTATTGCAGATTACATTACCATTGTGTGATACAATCATGTATTGCAGATTACATTACCATTTAATTTTAGAAAGATCAATAGTCACTGGTCAGAAAAGATTTGTAGTGTTGTAGTTACCTTCTTTTAAATGCCGTACATTTAATTTGTATGAGGTTTACTCCTTTCTTTTGACCCATCTTTCGTTCCACCAAGTCTAGTGTGTAAGTATAACGTTTCAAATTTGTTGTGAAAACAGTAGGACTCTATTCCTAAAAAATCAGCCTAAATTGGCACTGACACTAAGCAATGGTCCAACAATTTGGAACGCCCTTCCACTCGATCTCAGAAACATCCAGACACTGGAGTCCTTTAAAACCGATTTAAAGACACATTTATTTCGCAAACACCTTCTGGGATGATTGTCTACCATATTTTCCATTTAATACATATTAGCTGTGTTGCTCAAGGTTGAAATGGCTAGAAAGACTTTGACATTGTATGCTTGTAATTAGTTTTTGTAGTGTTGCGTTTGTTTTAAATGTGGTAAATTATAGATTTGTTTTTTGTTGACTTTGTACCGCGCTTCGAGCCTTTGGGGATGAAGCGTGTTTTTGAAATGAACTTTATTATTATTATTATTATTAATGGGCTTATCAGTAATGGACAACTTTGGATGGCATAGATTTTGGAGCAGAAGAGTTCTGTTTTGAAGTCAATCACCTAAAACATTGTTTGTGCAATGGTCAGTCAGACACAGCTGTTTTGGAGTCAATCACCTAAAACATTGTTTGTGCTATGGTCAGTCAGACACAGCTGTTTTGAAGTTGGCTGTAAGCTGTGGAAATAATGCAATTCTATCATCTGGTCGGGCTGGTCCTGTACAGCCAGCCCCTTACCATAACACTGGCCACATATCTTCTGGTCGGGCTGGTCCTGTACAGCCAGCCCCTTACCATAACACTGGCCACAGATGGCATTGTGGGATCAATAACTTTAAATTTCATAAGCTTTTGGTCTTAGCACATGGTGGCCAATATGGCAGTTTCTAGCAATGATTAGTCATATTGATAATGAAATGTCTAGACGGTTAAACTCGGTTGTATGTCACAACTTGGACAAACACTCAAGAGGGCAATCCTATAGTTGTATTTGATTTCTGATCAACTTTTGTTTGATTGAATGAAAACATGAAAACATTGGTGTATGCTTGATACATCCCTCTAGTAAAATTAGAATTGTTGGTGCAGAGAGTAAAAAAACAACTACTTCAAAACGAACTGTTACATTTGTATCATTGTTGTATCATTTTTGTATCATTTTTGTACACTCTCTTATGTTACTTCTGTGTCTTTCCTCCTTATTACCTGGTATTGCTGAGAATAAAGACAATTAATAGCTTGCTTCTGGCCCCGGTCCGCTTGGTCCTGTTGTGTCCCCATGGTTTGGTCCCGAGTCATGTTATCTATTGTCCATTGTTCATGCTTGGACAGAAGACAAAATAGGACTAGGGATTAAATATTGAACAGCTGAATGTTCCAGTGTAAACAATACATTGGCCTCTAGTGAGCACATGACTAAGGCATTAGCCTAGACTTAGCACATGACTAAGGCATTAGCCTAAACTTAGCACATGACTAAGGCATGCAGACACAGAGAAAATGGTCTCAGGACCACTATAAAAAATTCAAGTGCCTCTTTTAAAAGTTATCTTCTTCATAGCAATTTTTGTTTTAAGGATGTCGATAGGAATGAAAGCCAACCCTCCTTCACTTATGTAAACAAATTAATGAGGGAACATTTGTGTGCAATCTAATATACCATGTTTTTACAAACTGGCGACATATCCCTTTGCCACCCAGCATATTTGAGAGCACACCTGGTGCCATCTGGCCATTAAACACCAGGTAGTCAAAGGGTTAAATGAGTAATAGTGTTGGAGTCTGGCCAGGCTTGTTGTACCGCTTTCATACAACAGAGATGTTGATATTGCTGTTTGGCACACTGTTAATTATTCATTAGCTATTGTGTGTGTAGACCAGGAGGCTATATAAGGTGAGTATCTGGTGACTGGTGGACATTTCATTGTTAGCGGCTACCATATTAATAGTTAGCTTAAAAATATGTGCTCGGATTTTGAAATTATTTGTCTTTCTTAACAATTTTTAGAAAAAATAAGCTCTTAAAATCAGCCATTGCTTGCTGTTCAACTAATTGCCAAAAAAACAGTTAAGGGATACAAGGTTGTTAAAATATATATATCAATTTCAAATGAACCAATAATTTCTGATATGTTACTGATGAAGACAGACATGGCTTTTACATAGCACTATTAATAACTTGGTTAGTTTTTAAAATGTGTTTAATGTATGTTTTTTTCTCTGATTTATTTAGGAGTTCACTAGATTAAAGAAGTCCATATGATCATATAATTTCACTAGATCATAGGAGTTCACTTGATTATAGGAGTTCACTTGATTATAGGAGTTCATTTTATCAATGGAGTTCACTTGATCATTGGATTTCACTATATCAATGGAGCTCACTTAATCCTAGGAATTCATTTGATCTTAAGAGATCAGTTGATCATACACATAAAAGAAAAGAACTAAAATTGTGAGAATCTACTTTGTCTAAATAATTTATTTTAATCTTCTCATCTTTAATTCTTACCACCCCCCCACCCCACCCCACCCTCCAATAAAGATGAGGCTTTCCTATGCCAGCCCGACTGTGTGAATGCTATGAGGATATGTTTCAAGGCCATTGAGCTAAACAAACCTGCCCTTCTTACGGACATCAGTCCACACTTGGTACGCACTTTCTGCATATACAGTGGAACCTCGGATAACGAACACCCCAGTTAACTAACGAATCGGTTAACGAACAAGTTATTTGAACAGTTTTTGACTCTGCTGTTAATGAATAATAATTCTGTACATACAACACCATTCACTTAGTAGTGCTATGGTGCTAGTAGTGCTTTGGTGTTAGTAGTGCTTTGGTGTTAGTAGTGGTTTGGTGCTAGTAGTGGTTTGGTGCTAGTAGTGGTTTGGTGTTAATGTGTGTTGGTACTAGAGGTGTTATGGTGCTAGTAGTGCTTTGCTTTGGTGCTAGTAGTGCTATGGTACTAGTGGTGCTTTGGTGTTAATGTGTGTTGGTACTAGAGGTGTTATGGTACTAGTAGTGCTTTGCTTTGGTGCTAGTAGTGCTATGGTACTAGTGGTGCTTTGGTGTTAATGTGTGTTTGTACTAGAGGTGTTATGGTGCTAGTAGTGCTTTGGTGCTAGTAGTGCTATGGTGCTAATGTGTGTTGTACTAGTAATGTTATGTTGCTAGTAGTGCTTTGGTGCTAATGTGTGTTGGTACTAGTAGTGCTATGTGCTAGTAGTGCTTTGGTGCTAATGTGTGTTGGTACTAGTAGTGCTTTGGTGCTAGTAGTGCTATGGTGCTAATGGTGCTAATGTGTGTTGGTACTAGTAATGTTATGTTGCTAGTAGTGCTTTGGTGCTAATGTGTGTTGGTACTAGTAGTGCTATGTGCTAGTAGTGCTTTGGTGCTAATGTGTGTTGGTACTAGTAGTGATATGTGCTAGTAGTGCTTTGGTGCTAATGTGTGTTGGTACTAGTAGTGCTAGTAGTGCTTTGGTGCTAATGTGTGATGGTACTAGTAGTGTTATGGTGCTAGTAGTGCTTGGTGCTAATGTGTGTTGTACTAGTAGTGTTATGGTGCTAGTAGTGCTTTGGTGCTAATGTGTGTTTGTACTAGTAGTGTTGTGGTGCTAGTAGTGCTTTGGTGCTAGTAGTGCTATGGTGCTAGTGGTTCTTTGCTTTGGTGCTAGTAGTGCTTTGGTGCTAGTAGTGCTATGGTGCTAGTAGTGCTTTGCTTTGGTGCTAGTAGTGCTTTGGTGCTAGTAGTGCTTTGGTACTAGTAGTGTTATGGTACTAGTAGTGCTTTGCTTTGGTGCTAGTAGTGTTATGGTGCTAGTAGTGCTTTGGTGCTAATGTGTGTTCATACTAGTAGTGGTATGGTGCTAGTAGTGCTATGGTGCTATTGGTGCTTTGCTTTGGTGCTAGTAGTGCTTTGGTGCTAATGTGTGTTGGTACTAGTAGTGCTATGTGCTAGTAGTGCTTTGGTGCTAATGTGTGTTGGTACTAGTAGTGCTATGGTGCTAGTAGTGCTTTGGTGCTAATGTGTGATGGTACTAGTAGTGTTATGGTGCTAGTAGTGCTTGGTGCTAATGTGTGTTGTACTAGTAGTGTTATGGTGCTAGTAGTGCTTTGGTGCTAATGTGTGTTGGTACTAGTAGTGTTATGGTGCTAGTAGTGCTTTGCTTTGGTGCTAGTAGTGCTTTGGTGCTAGTAGTGCTATGGTGCTAGTGGTTCTTTGCTTTGGTGCTAGTAGTGCTTTGGTGCTAGTAGTGCTATGGTGCTAGTAGTGCTTTGCTTTGGTGCTAGTAGTGCTTTGGTGCTAGTAGTGCTTTGGTACTAGTAGTGTTATGGTACTAGTAGTGCTTTGCTTTGGTGCTAGTAGTGTTATGGTGCTAGTAGTGCTTTGGTGCTAATGTGTGTTCATACTAGTAGTGGTATGGTGCTAGTAGTGCTATGGTGCTAGTGGTGCTTTGCTTTGGTGCTAGTAGTGCTTTGGTGCTAATGTGTGTTGGTACTAGTAGTGTTATGGTGCTAGTAGTGCTTTGCTTTGGTGCTAGTAGTGCTTTGGTGCTAGTAGTGCTTTGGTACTAGTAGTGTTATGGTACTAGTAGTGCTTTGCTTTGGTGCTAGTAGTGTTATGGTGCTAGTAGTGCTTTGGTGCTAATGTGTGTTCATACTAGTAGTGGTATGGTGCTAGTAGTGCTATGGTGCTAGTGGTGCTTTGCTTTGGTGCTAGTAGTGCTTTGGTGCTAATGTGTGTTGGTACTAGTAGTGTTATGGTGCTAGTAGTGCTTTGCTTTGGTGCTAGTAGTGCTTTGGTGCTAGTAGTGCTTTGGTACTAGTAGTGTTATGGTGCTAGTAGTGCTTTGGTACTAGTAGTGTTATGGTGCTAGTAGTGCTTTGCTTTGGTGCTAGTAGTGTTATGGTGCTAGTAGTGCTTTGGTGCTAATGTGTGTTCATACTAGTAGTGGTATGGTGCTAGTAGTGCTATGGTGCTAGTGGTGCTTTGCTTTGGTGCTAGTAGTGCTTTGGTGCTAATGTGTGTTGGTACTAGTAGTGTTATGGTGCTAGTAGTGCTTTGCTTTGGTGCTAGTAGTGCTTTGGTGCTAGTAGTGCTTTGGTGCTAGTAGTGCTTTGGTGCTAGTAGTGCTATGGTGCTAGTGGCTAGTGGTGCTTTGCTTTGGTGCTAGTAGTGCTATGGTGCTAGTGGTGTTAGTAGTGTTGTGGTGCTAGTAGTGTTATGGTGCTTGTAGTGCTTTGGTCCTAGTGGTGCTAGTACTGCTATGGTGCTAGTAGTGCTTTGTTGCTAGTGGTGCTAGTGGTGCATTGCTTTGACTCTTTTGCATTAAAGATAGTTTGTCACAGTGCTATATATGTAATAGACTCATTTCTTTTCCTGACCTCTACTTTTGGTGTTATTTTAGCCCTTATGAGATCTAAAGGGAAACACTTTAGTCATAGGAATTATGTTAGCAAAGTGTTGTTATAAATGGAGAGGCTACCAGTTCTGATAAAATGATCTATTTTGATATAGAACAACAATTCAACAATGCAATGATACCCCATTACTAAGTGTCAACCGGATCGACTGAATTAACATTGATTTCAATGGATCGACTGAATTAACATTGATTTCAATGGATCGACTGAATTAACATTGATTTCAATGGATCGACTGAATTAACATTGATTTCAATGGATCGACTGAATTAACATTGATTTCAATGGATCGACTGAATTAACATTGATTTCAATGGATCGACTGAATTAACATTGATTTCAATGGATCGACTGAATTAACATTGATATCAATGGATCGACTGAATTAACATTGATTTCAATGGGGAAAAATTATTTCGGGTAGCCAACACTTCGGTTTAAAAACGGAGTATCAGAACGAAATACGTTTTTTTTTTATCCAAGGTTCCACTGTTCTTTGTTTTGTGTTTTTTAATGACTTCATGGTGTTGGGCAACAATTTTTGTAGATGGAAAGAGCCATGTCAGTGATAGGAAGTGGAACATTGAGAGTTATCCATTGTTTCTCATGACAGTTCAAGGGTTGTCAAAGGGAAAAAAGGGGTGTGGCTGGGAGGGAGAGCCCAAAATCTTACTTGAGTAGTTTCAAGAACAACAAAATATGAACAGTTGTTTAATTGAACACTTTGTTTGATATTGTTTGTGTTCTGCCAGAAATGTCACCATTGATAATGTCCACAGTTACGAGCGACCCAGATCACTTCATCTCACACACGAAGCGCATCGTCCCCCGAACATCGAACATCACGAATTTCCTCACCGGGTGGAGGGGCTTCACCGTTAGGGCGGTCACTTCCTGTCTGGGAGGCAATAGATCCAGAAATGGGCAACAGACATGGGCATTTGAATGGTAATGCAAAATTATTTTTTATCTGCTGTTTGGTTTATGCAAGAAAATATATCTCCATAATGTATGTGTCAATGAATGTTACGTTCTTTGTTCATCTCATCATATTAATTCAATTGCCCTTCAGGGAGGAGTCTCAAATATTTGTAAATATTGACTTTTTTCCTTGTCTTCCTGTATTTTTTATAGGTGCAAATGAATGTTTATATTTTTTAAAAATATTTCTTTATGCAAAAAAAAATATTGAATATCATTTTAACAAAACAACTTCTGGTGGCATTTTAGGAGCTAAAATATTGAATCAAAAGTTTTTATGAGAGTTGGTTGTTCTTATCTTAAATTATTTTTAATGACCAATACTTGAATTGCCAAATTAAAATGATAGTTTTTTTATTTGCAACTCTTTCAATGAAATCTCAGTTTATTCAGTGGTAAATTAGCTCATTGATTTTGTCTTGTTGTCTCTAGTACGCTACTCCCAAATGGGCAGTTCCAACATGTCACTGTCTGTGGATCCATCTCTCGGAGGCTCCAGCCTGCTGCAACAAAAAATTCTATCCGGCCCTTGTTTTGTCTCATCCCTTGACTCACCTGGCCTCCTTGAAAGTCTCCGGAGTGACCCCTTGACGGACGCGATGAGAAGCGCCCAGCGTTCTAATCCATATAATCATCATTCCGCCATGCAGCTCAACGAACCTTCGCTGTTCATCCCACAAAGCAGGTTGCCCCATGAACTCATCCCACAAAGCAGGTTGCCCCATGAACTCATCCCACAAAGCAGGTCGCCCCATGAACTCATCCCACAAAGCAGGTTGCCCCATGAACTCATCCCACAAAGCAGGTTGCCCCATGAACTCATCCCACAAAGCAGGTTGCCCCATGAACTCATCCCACAAAGCAGGTTGCCCCATGAACTCATCCCACAAACCAGGTTGCCCCATGAACCCATCCCACAAATATGAACTCATCCCACAAAGCAGGTTGCCCCATGAACTCATCCCACAAAGCAGGTTGCCCCATGAAGTCATCCCACAAAGCAGGTTGCCCCATGAACTCATCCCACAAAGCAGGTTGCCCCATGAACTCATCCCACAAAGCAGGTTGCCCCATGAACATCTGGGAAACACTCTGGTGAACCAAAGGCCTTCTAGTTTAGCCAGGAGTGAGTTGCCATTAAGTCATAGAAATGTAAAAGCAACTGAATCCAATTTAGATCCACGTTTACAATCTTTGACACCTGATCCAGCATCTGACGGGCATTCTTCCTGTATGCTGCAACCAACATTTCCTGTTGATGGCGGCCAGAAAGACTTGAACTGCAGTATACCATCATTTGCTTCCCAGTCCAGTTTTGAAGATGTCACACAAGAAGCCGAAAGTCTACTGGAGCAATCCGCAGCAAGCAAATCATCTTCCCACCAGGATATTTCTCCACCTGGCAGCCCTAGTTCTGCAGTGCATTCTCGTTCATCCTCAGCATTGCTGGCAAACACCCAATCGCCCTGTCTTTCAAAGAATATCAACTGCTCTCAAATTAAAACCTCTGACGTTAATGAGATTAAAATTCAGAGCTGGGATGGTCATAGTGAGCCGTCTGAGAAACATGGCTCTCAAATTTCATTAGGCTTGGACGCATCATCTTTAAATATGGATGAATCTCATAGTGGATCTGGTGATTTGGGTATTCTGTTACCTTACACAAGAACACTGGATTCGTCCCTGCCACAATCAGCCATCTGGGGATCAAGTAAGAACACAGACACTGCAAACCAAGGTTTGTCAAATACAAACAAGATGTGTTTCTCAAACTCTGAGCTGAGCAGCCCCCACGGGGACTCCACAAACCAAGGGGGCACAAAGCCCAGGTTTTTCAGTGTTAAATCTGATCCAGCTCTCCACTCGTCGAACCCACTCCTCTCACAAAGAGACGATGTCAGGAGACAGAATTTCCATGATTGGAGGCGAGACAGGCCCCCTGTTAGTCCTACAAGCCCGCAGTTGTGGTCAAGGAGAGACCAACCTCCCACAAGCCCGCGACCTTGGACCGAGGATGACCTGTACAGCATGATGAGCCCCGGTACATCCCCGAATGTAAAAATTACACCCGCCCCAGTTCGGTCTTCGGGAATTGTGTATGTGCCGCTAAGTTTCCAGCGGGGGCACTCACTTGATCAGGTTGATCACAGGGCAGGTTTGGGATCTGTGACTTCTCCTGATCTTAATCCATCAAGGAATTTTCATGACACGAGTCGGACGACGGACAACGCTTCCAATAACAGTTCCTTTGGGAACATCTCTAACCAACCGCCAATGTCATCGTCCAATAGGAAACTGGGACACAAACGTTGGGCGTCCGACACAACTGCTATTAAGGTGGAACACGGTCGGGCGGAAAAACCGGGGGCTTCCACCAACGCTACCACCACACCATCGAGCACCGGTAGCAGGAAGCATACAACGTCAGAGAATAGTAGCAGTCAAAATGGACTCAGAAGTAAGTAGGAAGATTTACATTTAAAGTGTGAGTGGGTACAGTTCTGTTTGTATAGTGACTCTGTGTTTTTTCAGGTAAACCCAGTTTCTCCTCAAATCATCCCAAAAGCTTTGAATTTTGAGTGAATTAAAGTCTTTGCATATGTTATTTCCTATGACAACACTTTTGCTTTATTGTAGGTCTATGACGGACAGTCAATAAATTAAAGCAACACCAAGTTGTCTGCTGTTTTTGGTGTTTGATTTTTTTTTATCTATCCATTACACCTTGGTTATTTCCACTTCCCTCCATCCCACATCAATTTTCTTAGAGCCTTAATTAGGGATGAAGCGTGTTTTTGAAATGAACTTTATTATTATTATTATTATTTCCACTTCCCTCCATCCCACATCAATCCATTCCACCCTGGTTATTTCTAGTCCTGTCAATGGGTTTTCCTAACTGCCTAGGAAAATTTCGGTTACCAATTTTAAGATTTTAACCCTTTGCGCCGGCACATATTGTACACCCTGTCCCTAGTGGCTGGGTGCAGCACATATTGTACACCCTGTCCCTAGTGGCTGGGTGCAGCACATGCTGTATACCCTGTCCCTAGTGGCTGGGTGCAGCACATACTGTACACCCTGTCCCTAGTGGCTGGGTGCAGCACATGTTGTACACCCTGTCCCTAGTGGCTGGGTGCAGCACATCTTGTACACCCTGTCCCTAGTCGCTGGATGCAGCACATATTGTACACCCTGTCCCTAGTCGCTGGATTGGGTGCAGCACATGTTGTACACCCTGTCCCTAGTGGCTGGGTGCAGCACATGTTGTACACCCTGTCCCTAGTGGCTGGGTGCAGCACATGTTGTACACCCTGTCCCTAGTGGCTGGGTGCAGCACATATTGTACACCCTGTCCCTAGTGGCTGGGTGCAGCACATATTGTACACCCTGTCCCTAGTGGCTGGGTGCAGCACACACGAACACTTATTAAAATAGAAGTACGACAAGAACCATAGGACAGTAAAAACAACTGTAGAGATCTCCTTTGTTCTATCCCCAAGTAGGATTCCTACTTCTGTTTGTCCTGAAGAAGGTCCTGATCTGAAACGTTCACATCTGATTGTCCTGTCTTTTGATTCAAGCTTCAACAGACCTGGTTTACTCCTTCATTCACACAGCTAAAAGTTGCTGCTTTTCTTGGCAGAATGATCTAATTTTTTTTTAAAATCCTGAATACCTGGATCGAGGGCTACCATGGATCGAGGGGTCTCAGGTATCGAGGGGTACCAGGCAGGTGTCTTCCAATTTTTGACAGACCTATTTATGTCAAGTCCATGATGACCTTGTTAGAGGGCGTTCTTGTCAGGGAGTGAATGAAAAGGTTTTATTGGTTCTGTCATGGCTTTTAAAACTGCCATCTTGTTCTGTAGCCAAAGGTGTCATATGCCAAGTGACATAATCCCATTTTATCACGTGTCATCTTGTTATAAGCCTAAGGTGTCATATGCCAAGTAACATATTTCCATTTTATCATGTGTCATATTGTTCAGTTACCAAAGTGTCATATGCCAAGTGACATATTCCCATTTTATCACGTGTCATCTTGTTCAGTTACCAAAGGTGTCACATGCCAAGTAACATATTCCCATTTTATCATGTGTCATCTTGTTCAGTACCAAAGTGTCATATGCCAAGTGACATATTCCCATTTTATCACACGTCATCTTGTTTGGTTACCAAAGTGTCATATGCCAAGTGACATATTCCCATTTTATCAAGTGTCATATTGTTCAGTACCAAAGTGTCATATGGCAAGTGAAATATTCCCATTTTATCACATGTCATCTTGTTCAGTTACAAAATTGTCATATGCCAAGTGACATATTCCCATTTTATCACATGTCATCTTGTTATGTAGCCAAAGGTGGCATATGCCAAGTGACATATTCCCATTTTATAACATGTCATCTTGTTATGTAGCAAAAGGTGTCATATGCTAAGTGACATATTCCCATTTTATCACATGTCATCTTGTTATGTAGCCAAAGGTGTCATATACGCCCCAAGTGGTACTTGAAGGGGGCATGATCGGTCTACCATTTATATACATTTTAATTTGTACTTTACTCTATGCTATATACCAAATGCTTTATACTTTACTCTATTCTTTATACTTTATACTACATGCTTTACTTTATACTGATAAAAAGGTAACACATTGGAATGGTTCACATTTTATTCCAAAGTTTTACCTTACAGTGCACAGTTCTACACCATGCCAATGTGTTAACTTACAGTGCACAGTGTACACATTCCAATATGTTACCCTACAGTGCACAGTTGTACATCATTCAAATGTGTTACCTTACAGTGCACAGGTGTACACAATTCCACTTTCGTACTTTATAGTGCACATTTGTGAGCCATTCCAGTGTCTTACCTTACAGTGCAGAGTTTTACACCATTCCAATGTGTTACCTTACAGTGCAAAGGTGTACACAATTCCAATGTGATACCTTAAAGTGCACAGTTGTACATAGTTCTAATGTTTTACCCTACAGTGCACAGGTGTACACCATTCCAATTTTTTACCCTACAGTCCACACGTGTACACCATTCCAATGTGTTTTATGACGTCGTATCAGATCGATATTGCGATATTGCCAGGTTATTGCGTACCGTAGTCAGGCGTGTTGCTCATGGGAGTCACACTGGCAATAGTGTGATGAGAACTGTATTGTCCTTGAGATGGTTGGTCATGGGAGTCACACTGGCAACAGTGTGGTGAGAACAGTATCGTCCTTGAGATGGTTGGTCATGGGAGTCACACTGGCAACAGTGTGATGAGAACTGTATCGTCCTTGAGATGGTTGGTCATGGGAGTCACACTGGCAACAGTGTGGTGAGAACTGTATCGTCCTTCAGATGGTTGGTCATGGGAGTCACACTGGCAACAGTGTGATGAGAACTGTATCGTCCTTGAGATGGTTGGTCATGGGAGTCACACTGGCAACAATGTGATGAGAACTGTATTGTCCTTGAGATGGTTGATCATGGGAGTCACACTGGCAACAGTGTGGTGAGAACTGTATTGTCCTTGAGATGGTTGGTCATGGGAGTCACACTGGCAACAGTGTGGTGAGAACAGTATCGTCCTTGAGATGGTTGGTCATGGGAGTCACACTGGCAACAGTGTGATGAG